GTTCCTGATACAGTGGACCCTTGACTTACAGACGGCTTGACTTACAGACTTTTTGAGTTACAGACTTCTCTGGCCGCAAAATTTAGGTTTGACTTGCAGCCTGAGAATTGACTTACAGACCAGAAAAAAACCAAAATGGAACAAAAACGGCCTGTTACGGGATTAATCGGTTTTCAATGCACTGTAGGTCAATGGAGACTTGACTTACAGACTTTTTGACTTGAGAACCGCCTTCCAATACGGATTAAGTTCTCAAGTCAAGACCCGACTGTATATATTTCTGGGTATTGTGGTGACATGAATTTCATTAAACAAGGTTGTGGTGCAAATCAGATTGTAAGCCTGAATGTTCAAAGGGCACGTAGCCCCTATGAGTTTTAGGAATCCATCTGGTAGTTAAGATAACTGTGATTTTTATTTCACAGATGTTACTACTAGTAGATGGTTGATACCTTATCTGACTAATATTGCCACAGTGCTGTTTTGTTTATAAATAACAGAGTTTTTCTATGCAGATGACATATTTTTCTTACATAGGATGAGGAGAATTGTTTACAGATGGTAGACGAAGTTCTGGCTGAATTACAGCAGCTTAAGGAAAAGCAGGCTGTTAACAAGATGGATGTTGTAGATGCACAGAACCAAGTTGAGGAATCAAGGAAGATATTACTGTCTCTGAATAGGTAATTGGTTCTATGCTCAGAACCATCCGTTAAATAATTTGAAGAGAAAATAAAGTTCCAGATAGCTAAAATTCCACACTCAATTTTGAGGGAAATCTTTGTTCTTTGTTGTTGCCTCTATGGATCACACAAATGGGGGTTGCACCCGCCCAGAGCCACATTCCAGAAAATTCTCTAGCTAAGCTTTGGTGGTAACTCTGCTCCTACACCCCCTCATGCATATATATAATATATATGTATGAGCCCTGAGTGGGGGCTCCCAAATCTTTTTCACTGCCTTGGAGACACTTTTAGCTAAGTGAATAGACGTTGCCTTTGTTTAACCATTTCCACTTTTTGCTACTTCCTCTGTCCCTCATTGTTTTTTCTCGATTTTCTCCACAACTGTCACTCTTTCCAGTTACATAGCTGTGAATGCTCTATTCAAGAAATGTGTAATTGTGGGGGCAGTCTTCTTTCTATGTCCAGCACTCCAAGAGCCTCTTTTGCCTTGGTGAATCCCCACCTCTTTTCCATCTGCAAAGGCTTCACTAAGCAGCGACTTTGAAAGCTGAAATTCTGACTGTTTCTCTGGGAACAGTCTCTAAAATCTGCGGACTAGCCACTCAAAATTGTTCTCTCCACAGCCTTAGCTCCCCTGACTTTGGTGCCTAGGAAACCAGCCTCTGCACCATTAAGGACTCGGTCTCTATCTTCATCATCGTACGCTAAGTCATGAGCTTCTCAGTCTGTGCCTCAGTATCAACCAGCCACCCCCACCAGCCGTTATTCATCCCAATCCTGAGCTGCTTGAAGCTGCTCACATCTCCCTGTGGTGATGTTTCAGTCTGTGCCGCATCTCAGGCTCCCCCCTCCCCATGTGGGACCCACCTACGCCGAGGTTTAAGCAACAAGGTTCCAGCTGGAGCCTCAGAAGCCTAACATGCTAAAGACAATAAGTGCAAACATTGGGGCTGAATCAAGATCCAGACCCTTACTTCTTCTCCAGCCTGCTAAGCGTTCCCTTTGGACCCTTGGTCTCAGTTCCCTAGGCAGCATCGCCCTTCTTCATCCCAGGATAAAGAGGCTTTTCCTCTAAATCCCATTTTTGACAGTCCTCCCTTTCCCTCTCAGCCAGATCCCGCTCTTCCCCTAGCACATTGCTTCCAAATTGGCATGCCATCACTACAGACCAGTGGGTACTCTCCATCTTCAAATGAAGTTACACCATCAAGTTTGGCTGTCTTCCTCCTCTTGGCATCTTCCACCACACTATCCCCTCACCTCCTCTCCAACAAGAAAAATTGTATCTTCTGGGAAAAAAGGGCAATGGAGATCACCCCTCAGTGGTGTTCTGTAACTGGCTTTGTCTATTATTTTCTGGTCCCCAAACAATGGCAACCTCCGGCTAGTCCTGGGTCTCCAGGAACATGGTCACTGTTTTAACCCACAGAAGTTCCAGATGGTGACACTGAACTTCATCCCTCCTCTTCTTCCCCACAACAGCTAGCTTGTGGCTATAGACTTCTGTGACACTTATTTCCATGTCAGAATTGCTTCAGTTCACCGCCAATTCCTTCCTTCATCCTAGAAGACCAAATATACCAGTTCAAAGTCCTGCTATTTGACCTTGCCAGTCTACCCCACATTTTTACCAAGTGCATGGCCCCTGAGATGGCTTGCCTCCACACCACCCTATTTGGATGGATGGCTCTTAGTGGCAAACAACCAGCTTTGCTTCCATTGTCATGTCACCTCCTCCTTCCATAAACCTGAGCTGCAAGTGAATGAGAAAAATCCTTATCTCTACGCCACCTGGAGACTCCTCTATATAGGAGTGCTCTTTGACTCACCTCGCCTGTGTAGGGCCTTTCTACAATGGACGTTTTCACCTCCCCCCTCCAAAAAAAAAACACCAAATTTCCAGAGTTGGTTATGGTTGCTGTTCCCTCAGTGATGCCATCACACTTCCGTGGTCTCTGAGCCTCCTTTGCATGTTTTTCCTGTTCATTCTCAGGACTGGGGCACACATCCCAAGGCAAAGGACCAGAGTCATTCTCATCACCCCATGGTTGCCCAGGCAACCATGGTTTGTCACTTTGCTCCATCTCTTCCGCAGCTGATTTCTTCACCTCCCCAACATTCCAAATGTCCTCATGCAAGCTCGTGATCAAATCTGCCACCCAATCTCCAGTCTCTTGAGTTAATGACATGGAGGATACAAACTCTGTCTCCATAACCCCCCCCCCCTACATGAGGTGTTTCTGGCATCTTGAAAACCTTCCACCAGGAAATCTGCAATGCCAAATGGAAAAAAATGTGGACTTCACTAGTGCTTCCAGTTTCCATTCAGCCATGTACTCTGTCCCCAACATTTTCCATTTCTTAATTTCCTTGCTCAAAGTTCATTTGGCAGCTATTTCTGCCAAGTGATCCTGTCCACCTAATACCTCATTATTTTCTCACCCCCTAGTGAAAACCTTCCTAAAGGTATTGCAGAATCTCATCCCACTGGCTTGACCTTTATCTCCAGCCTGGTCCCTACCACTTGTCCTGTTGCAGCTCATTCAGAGCCTCCCTTTGAGCCCATGGCCACATGCCCTGTCAGTCTGCTCTCCTGGAAAATAGTCTTCCTGGTAGTCATAATCTCTGCTCAATATGTTTCCAAGCTTTTCCATGTTGATAAGGTGTTCCTCCAGCTGGACATTTCATTCCTACCTAAGGTGGTAATGCCTTTCCCCATTAGCCACAACATTGTATTACCTGCCTTTTTTCATCACCCCTCCTCTCCTTTGGAGCAGACCCTTCATATCTTGGACATCAGACATTTCCTCACCTTTTACATTTCACACACTGCCTGGTTCAGACAGTCTCCCGGACTAATTTGTTACTACAGAGGCCCTAGAAAAGGCAAGCCATCCACTTTCATTAAATATTATTAGTTGGATGTGTGACCCAGAGACCACACCAAGTTTGGGAGAGCAGTGCTTTCATCAGGTCTGCAATGACACTCCCTTCTTGGGTAAGTCGGCTTGCAGTCTACCCCTTTGTGTGACCCACAGAGACCACCACAGAGAATGTCAGGATGCTCACCTGCAACTGTTGTTCTTTGAGTGGTCATCTGTGGATTCACACATCCTGCCCCTTTCCCCTCAGTGTCATCCATTCTGCTTGCTCCTTAGTGAATGGAAGCAGGAGCTCCCACCCAGGGCTCACATATATATGTATGTGAGGATGAGTAGGGGCAGAGTTACCACCAAAGCATAGTTAGTGAAATTTCTAGTATGTGGCTTTGTTACAGGTAAACAACCTGTTTCTGGTTGACAGACACCTTTAAATTGAGCACTTTATACTTGCTAATTATGGTCTACAATAGTGTACATGGGTGTTTAAAATAAAAGGTACTGATAGTTCATGACATAATGGGCAAATGCAGAGGGGCCCATGTAATGTTTTATCCCACTGCAAAGAATGCCCGTTTTGTTCTTTCATCCCTCTCATTCAATCTAGTTTAGCTCTCTCGTCATTAAGATCATTCAGTGAGTGAGAAGTGTGTTTGAATTTGAGGGTAAAGGGCTAATGATCTGAAATTAAAGTGAGAGATGCAGTATTACATTTGTGCAAATAAATTGCACTTAAGGTGCAGTTCAGAACAATGTTTAGATTGGTCCTGTTGCCTCTTCTAATGGAGAAGACTTCTCAATTCAGAAATGAAACCTAAAGAGGTAATGCACTGAATAGATGCTGGCCAGACTCCTGTTGGGAAAAATGAAATGCATAAGGGCAGTCTCTCAGTGTTTTTTTCTCTCTGCTTGCCATCCATTGCCACAACCGCTGTCAACCACCCAAGGGGACAGAGGAGCTCAACCGCTTGCAGGCCACATTGGTAAGCTTGCTTGCATGATTGCCTGCTTCTTTGCATTGCATGAAATCAGCAGGATTCTGACTATAATCTTTCAACCTTAATAGCTGAAATATCACTGCCATTTTTTGCATTTTAATTTAATTTAATTTTAATTTTGTTGGCAGAGAGTTGGTAACTCTACAAAAGGAAGCGCTAGCAATTGAGACCTCGTTGGAACAGAAGAAATTAGAAAGACATAATAGGCTTCTTGATTGCAAGCTTCAGGACTTGAGGATAAACCTCCTTCTGGGATCTTTAGATGACATTAGTGAAATTGAGGTATATTTGCATGTTTTGTGGCAGGATCATTCATTTAAAGCTGTTGTAGAGTTTGTGCATGAATATGCAAATCTTGCCCAAATTCGATGAAACTTGGGATTTTTAAAATCCCATTTTATGTACCAAATTCTTAGAAGAAGCAGAGTGATTACTGAACATTGAGATCACACACTAGCAAAATTAGTATTGCAAAAGTGTCAGCCTTGTGGATGGCTTCCCCTACATCATGTTACGCGAAAAGCTTCAGGCTGAAAGGAAGGAAAGAGAAAGAGAATTGAGGCTCTGCATTTCAAGAAGGGGGTGACTGCAGAAGAATACTAACAAAGGGAGATCAGATAGAACTGAGGTAGCCTTGGGCCAAATTAAACTCTCCAGGAAAAACAGGTGGAATCTGAAGCAACTTGTGTCACTGCAAAATGATGCAGTAAAATGGCACCCAGTTTGCCCTTTATAAAACTGCGGTAGAACTTGTGTCTGGCTTTTATGAGCCTCAGAAGCTTCCCCCAGATAGAAGGCTTTGGGGAACCCTCAATCAGGAAGAGAGAGAGAGAAGGATACAGACACTTGCTGTTGGGTTGCTGGAATGCGCTGGGATCACCAAGTCATTCAGTGTTTGCTCTTTGGACTTTGGGTGAGGTGCCCCTTCCAAGACTCTTCTGCCTTCACCTTTGGATGCCTCCTGGCCTTTCCAGTTCCTGGCTTTTCTCTGCCCTCCACCCTCATCCCCAATCCCATGTCCTTTTGGACAGTTGCTTTCTAAGGCTCTATCCGTGTGTCTTTGCACGATCCAGGGATTCCTCTCTGTAGTTCTCATTAAATCAGGGCATGAGTTACAAGCAGGTTCATGCCTGTTCATAGATAACATGCAGTAAATATCTTTATTCCAGATTATTTCAAAGGTGCATTTCCAGTATTGGTTTTTATGGAGAAGATAAAAGTAGGAATGAGGGAGAACAATTAAGCATAGGTAGAGGCATGGATTAGGAAGGGAAAAGCAAAGGCTGCTGCTGTTTCCTTTGTTTTTATACTGTCATGTAGCTGTCTTAACGTGAGTGGTTATTGCATGCTCCTAAACTGGACTGTTTCCTATAGCTGGCTCCTGATACCGAAAGCACTGAAAAGACGGCTGATATTTATGAGAGAGAGCAATTAATTCAGATAGACTATAGCAGTCTTGGAAAAGAGCTAAAGGTATGTATGGTTTCCACTTGCAGTAATGTCTACCAACGCATCCTTTTTTCAAGCTTAAGTTTCAGAAATATTTGGCCACATTATACATGCGGGTTAATACCTTTCCGGTGTTATGTTAGCTTTTTAGCTGTAGAAGGTGCTTGTTTCAGAAATATTTGGCCACATTATACATGTGGGTTAATACCTTTCTGGTGTTATGTTAGCTTTTTAGCTGTAAGTGTGTCTTTTCTGCCTTGCATTCTAAACAAATTGCTTTTCATTCTTTTCAATATTGAAATAAAGCCCACATAATTATTTCCTAGATGTCCTGTAGTGTGTAAAACTTGGCCATGTGCTGAAAACAATAGTTAATAATCACACAGGGTGTTAACATACCTTCCCGTGTGACAATCCTAGTGGAGAATCTTCCCCACCTCCTTGGTATTGGCACTGGAATGGAAACTTCCATGTATGCCGATAGAGGCTTGCAGTAGCAGCTTCAAGGATTGGAGAGTGGGGGTGTTCATCAGAACTGCAGGAGAGAGGGAAATACTGTACTAAAACCACCTCCCACCACATCACACTCCCAAACCAAGATAATTCATTTGTATTACAGTTGATGCATGTTCTACTTGGACCCACATTCCAAGTGCTGCATTGTATAATGTAAATGGCTTCGTAAGAAATAGATAATGAAGGTACAACTCTTCAGTTCTCTTTAAAAGCTGATATCTGTGGTTGAGCAGTTTTGCTTCTAGGGTAGAAAAATGGCCAGTGCGCTAGTAATTCAAAAGCTGTGTAGTTGCAAATGCAGTATACATGCTGTGCAGTCCACATGTTGTAACACAACACCCTGCTGTTAGTGCTTCTCCTCTAGCTGCTTCATGGAGATGTTTGAGATTAATTCTGCATTCCTGATATGACATGATATATTCTGCTTTGCTCATAGGTGAGCATAGCTAGATCAAGTTCATTCCATTTATAATTGTCTAAACCAGTGGTTCCCAACACTGGTTAGCCCAGGTTCTTCTTCGTGGCCTCTGTGAATGCACACTAATGGGTTAAATCTGCACTTGTGCAGAGGCCTCGGAATATTCTAGAGCTTAAAGTAACACTTTTGGCTCCGCCCCCCAGGACCTCATGGTCCACCCATCCTAACAGTTACCTCAGTTCCATTTTTTCCGCTGCTGCAGTTAGGTCTCCTGGCTAGAGCTCCGTGAAATTATTGGAAATTCTTGGAAAATATTTGGCTCCTGTTCGATTCTCCATTAAGGAAAGTACAAAGACTTTATTATTTAGGAGGGGAGGTGTGCGTTTTGGCCCTTTGCGAGGGTTTTCCCTCTTTCCCCCTCCCTTCCCCCCTCTTCCCCCCCTTGGACTGTTCCCAGGCCTCCAAGGCTTCCTCATCTCCCAGGGTTACTTTTAAAAG